GTCGTATTGTAACGCCTCCTAGATCCAAGGGGTCTACACGGCCCATTTCAAGCAGACCTTGACTGTATGCTGTTTGAAGGCCTGCAGTGCAGGACACGCCGCATCCTGAGCCATCTCGAGATTATCACGAACAGTGCGCCAGCAGCTGATACTACTCATGTGCTACCTCATAAACATCATATGTTGTTCGTACGCCGGAATATGCTGTATATCGAATGACATCACCTAGACCAGATTTCACGGCGTATTTCGCCGCTCGCTTGCTCCAGGAGCAAAAGGGTACCGTTTCAGTAGGCCCCATTGCCATGGCGATATGGCGTTAAGGGACAGAATGATCAGAGATGCGTCCAAGACTACACGTGCTCAAATGCCACGGAGCCGTGATCCGTCAGGTTGATATTTGCTCATTAGCAAACGATCTGAGGGAAGCTGATGCACGCCCTCGTATATAGTCTGACACAAGCCTTTACCACGAAGTAACGAGTTCCGAGGCGTGGGCGGTGTTTCGAAGAGCCATGACATCCAACGAATGACATTCTTTAAAAGTCGGGAGACTGACCCCTGCCGTTCATCTGGGATGAACGATTAAGCGTGGTCAGCCAATCACCATATCAGATCGGAGCAGAAGAGGTCAGAAGTGACATCAAACGGTGCCTCAGCTTGCAAGATTTCGTCGCTGTATGCACTCCTTGTTTTTCCGTGATGCAGGTCACATTCCTCCATTCCGCTTTTCATTCAGCCTTCCTCAGAGCCTCGCTTCTTTCGGCGAAAGTGGTTGTTTGCTCGATGCGCGACAGCTGATTGATCTGGCCGCCAAAAATTGTTTGTATTCTTTCGCTGGTGTTTTTCGACTTGTTTCGGTCTAAGTCTGGCCACCACAAAAACCATCACTCGTTCGTAGGCGTTGAAAAGCCATGTAAATACAAACGAACGCCTTGGTCGGTGATTTTCGGTTATTACCTTTGGGGGACAGTGGACCAACGATGAGTAAACGAATTTACAATGCCGTTTGCAGTGTGTACCCCAGAAACCGACTGGTATTTACGTACGGTTGCTGAGAAATTGTTGTGCCGCGCCGAATCCCTTAAGGGAACGTTCCCGTCGACGGGGTCAATTTCCGGGTGAGAAGTAGTTCAGAGTTTTTGTTCTGAGGACACAGTTGCCAACTGAAAGTTGGCACTTGTGGAGATGGTCTGCAGATTCTCCAACAGGTGGTCGTCAAGGAGATGACTTGCGAGATCTAACAGAGACTTAGATTTGACCGACTTCGA